AATAGACGACCCTTTTTATAAAAAACCGTCGTCTTTACATATAGTAGACGACCCTTTTTATATGAAAACCGTCGTCTTTACATATAATAGACGCCCATTTTTATAAAAAACCGTCGTCTTTACATATAGTAGACGACCCTTTTTATATGAAAACCGTCGTCTTTACATATAATAGACGACCTTTTTTATAAAAAAACCGTCATCTTTACATATAATAGACGACAGTTCTTTCAAAACAACCATGTCTTTACCAAAAAAAGGACACTTGATTTTTAAAAGACGACGCTTGTCATACCTACTGTCGTTGTTTTTTGGTCAGATTTTAACTCTAAAGAAAAGCTTTTTAATAAGACGACGCGTTTTTATTTGTGTGCGTCGTTATAAAAAAATTCTCAACAGTATCTCCATTTTTTAGTTGTTTAAGTCACTTATCCACGACGGTTTTTTGTTACCGTCGTCTTTTTAAAAACAACGACGGTTTTTTGTTCTACCGTCGTCTTTTTCTGGTCGTCTTTTGCCCTTTTTGTAGTAGTGACAAGAGGAGTTTAAGACTTGACTTGAGGATGATCATTTAGAAGATAACAATGAAATTGCTTTTCTTGACTCTAGTTTTAAGTCATCTTGCTTAATTCAGAAGATTGTTCATTAACTATTAGCCTATCATTGGCTTTGTTTTTTGATGAGCCATTCAAATCTTTCAACATTTTTAATGTACACCATAACCATACCAAGGTCATAAAAATGATGTTTCCATAAAGGAGCCATTTTTCAGGTACCAATTCATCACATCATGCTCCAAAACTTCCTCTGCATATATAATTGTGTTTTCTTGATCTAGAAAACCTCTTGGGCAGTGCCAATTGGATAAGTGAGATAATAATTATCTAAAATGTCATGAGCATAGAATTAAAGCATAATTATACTAACGTCTCAGCATTTGTTGGCAACCAAACAGCCCAATCAATTTCCAGCATGAAATTAAATATGAAATTTCGCAAGGACTAAAGTCAGAGATACCCCACCTCCAAGAAAAAATAAACCCCACATTTCAGAAATTTTCCAGAGAGAATGAAACCAAAAAGAGAAGAAAAAAAATGGATGTACACACAAAGAAGAAGAGCCTAAGGTCACGTAAGCCACATTTTCCCCATAGACTAATGGGGATGACCCTAACCTTACGTAAGGAGCAACGACGATTACAAATCATGCTGTGGATAGCATAACTCAGCCTTTCACCATCAAGCCACCTTGTATCCTTTTTAATCAAGTCTTCCTTGAATATCATAAAAAACTTTGAACCTTCTCTGCTTTTCTATTATTTCTAGTCCAACATGTATTTTGTTTTATTTTTATATTTTTAACACAAGCGATAATATACTTTAATCTAATCTAAACTACGAGGGGACTCGAAATCGGTAGCCTTTCCCTTTCAATTTATAAAGCTGCCGACTGCAACTTTGCATGTTTGAGTCAAATATAAAGCGGCCGAGTGCCGACTGCCGACTGCCGATTGTTTAAATAGCATTAAAGAGCGGTCACGCAGGCCACATGCTGACAAACTCCTCCACTGAAAATTATTCCCGTCTCATCTGCTAAATAGTTTATTATTTATAGTTGGTGCTAATTGAATCTCAAGTGTTATCCAAAGTTTTCATGGCAGCCCATCTTTTCTTTCTCTTCCTTTTGTTCCGGCTTCTCCTCCATTTCTTCAATTCTACAAACAATTATATCAAGGCATGAGAATCACAACTTCTTTTGTTCAAATTAATAAACCCGAACAATTTGTACAAATGAATAGAGTTTGAGGGTCCTTCAGTTAATAATTTGTACAGTTGAGTGCAATTGACTTACGAAAGTCATGGATCAAGGACGAGCATTAATTCCTGAAGCAGCTGCAGGAAGGTGACAAGAACTATCTCTGCACTTTAATTTTTTATTTTAGTTTTATCCTACTCAGAGAGGATTAAGGAATTTTGTCCAAAAAAAGAAATAGAAAAAAGGAAAAAGAAGAGGAGTTTAAGACTTGACTTGAGAATGACCATTTCGCAAGGACTAAAGTCAGAGATACCTCACCTCCAAGAAAAAATAAACACCACATTTCAGAAATTTTCCAGAGAGAGCAGAGGCGGACCCAGAGCCGGTCCATTGATTTTGGAGGCCCTGTGCAAATATGGATGTCGAGGCCCTACATATACAAGTAGGAAAAAAAAAATCCATATAGAAACAAAATTTTCTGACACTGGAAGAACACCTTCGGAAAGAGCTTCCCAGAAAATTTTCTTTAGTCACTCTTCCAAATCACAGAGCAGATAAGTTGATTTTCCAATTTCAATGCTCGGTGAATTCTCATGTGAATGAGGGAGAAAAGAACTATGATTTTGGGGAAAGGGCTAAAGCTTGGGGTTTTACAATCCAAAATTTGATGGAAGAGGGTGGTACACTGGTACTGAAGAGAAAATGATTTATTTTGATGGAGGAGAGTGAGAGAGACTTACTGAAAGAGAAGAATATTATAATGAGAATAGGAAAACGAATTAAATTAGGGCCTCTACTCCCTAAGTCGTGGAAGTTGTTGATAATTAATATTCAATTCAATTTTGGTTTTGGTTTTGGGCCCTTGCATGTGGCGTTGTGGAGTGATATTTAATATTTCATTTTTATTTTCTTGTTTTAATTAATTGAATGCGTTGACTTGGAAAAATTTGGGGCCCTTAAATTTTGGGGGCCCTGTGCGGTCGCACAGCTCGCACACCCCATGGGCCGCCTCTGGGCGGACCTACTAAGGCGCAATGCACCTCCCCTTGCCGGAAAAACTATTGTAGGTGCTAAATGTATTTGTCCTTTTACTTTTATTTATTTTTATATTACTCCATTTACTTAAGTTTACAATGTAAATAAGGAAGTACCCCCCATTTGGATTCAAATAAAAATACTAGAAATCAAATTCCCACCAAATCAAAATATGAAAATTCGGTTTTAGTGCAAAATACGATTTAGGCTAAAAATGATGGCTCATTAAGTCAATATATACTTAATACTAAAATCCCATAAAATCGAGTTTTCTTATTTGATGTGTAAGGAACAAAAGCCGCCAAAAATTATCTTGAGAAAATGATTATTCCGAAAAATCATTTTTCATACTTAGTCAATATTGCACCTTCGCTAAAAAAATTTTGGGTCCGCCAGTGCACGTTGGAACCCAAAAATCTTATCCGAAAATATTGTCCAAATTAATTATTTAGGTAAACAAATTTGTGAAAAAAACAAAAAAATGAATAGTGTTTGCCCTTTGCCAGGGCAACTGCTGGAAACCAACATTGCTTTTTGCAAGGGCAGCCACTATTCATGTGAATAGTGGCTGCCCTAGGCCCCCTACCATGGCAAGGGGCAACTACTGGAACTGCTCTAAGAAGCCTCACAAGGTGTGACAACTATTTAAATACCATTATATATATATATATAAAGATTTATTTAAATTTAGAAAAAGATATGCCAAAGGATACAACTTGCAACCTTTTCAACATCTAGAACATCAAGCTTTTCAAATAAGGTCAGAACCTGCACCGCACTTAGGGTATATAGTATATGTGGGTCATGCCCAATGTTACCACCAAACCCACCTGCATAAACAAAGCTGTATATCATCATTGCCTCTACAACTCAAAATCACCATACAAAGTACAACAAACCCGAGCTGGCCATCTAT